CCCGCCCCGCCCCTTGTTCGCAGTTGTGGCTGTTGCATGTGATACTGCTCATGATGTTGTGCTGCTCTAGACGGCGACGCGAGTCGACAATCGGATCATCTTTGACATCAGGCTGAACATCATCATTGTCGTCGTCATCTTCCTCATCAGTACCGTCAAAAGAACAGCGGTCACCATCACTATCAGCATCGCCATACAACCCTCGTAGTTAAGCATTGTAATTCATGTCTGATGCGGGAAACTACTGCGCAGATTCGCAGATTGCCGCTTTCTGCACGGAGCAAGGGTTGGGTACCGTAGGGGACCCGCACGACACCCCCAATCCGCACAGCAGCAGGCGACACCCCACCCCCACTGGCGGGGGTGGGGTCCCTTGGGGGGGGGGAGGGGGGCCGGGACCCGAGAGCATATATGCACACATGTAAAGACAATTTTAATCTATTATAATACACTCGGCTCTGATATAACATATGTTGTATGCATATTATGGGCCGTAAAATTTGTAGTGTACATAAGTGTATGCTACATGTTGTATACTAAATATTGCATGTTGGGACTACATTTTCAAAGACCGTACACAAAAAATGCATTCGATAATATATATTACATATTGTGTCGTATATGAAGTACTTTAGGGTACAGTGATTTATAAACAAAGTATGAATATACATATATATATATATGTGTGTGTGTATGTATGTATGTATGTATGTATGTATGTATGTATGTATGTATGTATGTATGTATGTTATACTATGTGGAAAGTATCTTCTGTGTGTATATGCACATATTGGATAAAGTGAAAATGACTGGTAGTACCGAAGGTATAATAGTGCCTACTATATGTCTTATAACATGTTCTGAAGTTTCTAAAGTACAAGTAACTATTTCATACACAGACACGTACATACATGCAAACATACATACATACATACATACATACATACATACGCACATACACACATAAATACACACATACGTACACACATACATACGTACATATGTACATACATACATACATACATACATACATACATACATACGTACATATGTACGTACATATGTACGTATGTACATACATACATACATACATACATACCTACGTACGTACGTACGTACGTACATGCACACACGCATACATACCTGCTTTCCGTCTCTTACTTTGATTGCAACAAGACACAAAGCCCCCTCTCCGGACTTTCCAGGGTGCTCTTAGGAGCCAGCTTTTGAGAGCTGCTCTTCGAGCTCTCGGCTCCCTCGCATCCTGCACTGGAGAATTGGACATGCCTGAAACAAAACACCTCCGCACTAAATGCTCTAAGAACAACAGAACCATTGCAACACAGACTTCGCCTTCCGTTCTCGACCTGGCAGGTGAAGACAAAAACACGGCACCGTGCTAGGTGCCAAAACGGTGAAGGCGAGGTAGAACGAGGCCCAAGCGAGCTGCGCAATGAAGGAGAGATGAGCTTCGACAGTGAAGAGGAGTGTCCCAGCCTGGCTTTCATCCCATCTCAGATTTCAGCACATTTCAAGCGCTTGCAGTCACTGCCGACATGCACAGGCCTCCGCGGCCTTATCACGAGCCCTCTTGCAAAGCGCATGTGCTTCATAGGCAAGTCGAACTGCCTGACAGCCACACGACCAATACGACAGAAGCAACACGACGACTGCGACAGCCATTGGCGTGCAGTGTGCATTGCTTCTTCCCTCAACTCTCAGGTGACATGACAACTGGCCCGACAAGACCGACAAAGACTCTGGCCACAGCCTCTGCAGGCTCCTGCTTGGCAATATGAATCTTGGCCATGCTGTGCAGCACTTGGGCCAACCTCCAGGCTTGTCACGAACTTGCCGCCAGGCACATCTCGGAGCTTGGCATAGGTGAGTTGTTTTGTCACTCCAAGACCCTGTAAGCGCAGCGCAAACGCCGCTCACCCAAGTCCTCAAAGATCTCTTGTGCTTGCAGCAACCACTTCTCAGCCTCATGGCGGTCTAGGGGTTAAGAACAAGGCCCAAACGCAACCTGGGCAATGTGCGTTTAGCAAGTCCGGCCTCCTCCAGCTGACCAACCATCTTGTAGACATTGGCTGCTAGCAGCAAACCCTGGCAAAGTCTGGAAGCAGGCAGGAAGCTTTCAGTTCTCGCCGAGGCTCCCCGCGGTTGCTTCCCCACGACGATCCTGTGGCAGTGGCTTCAAGTCCCATGGGCTCGCCGGGATCCCGGGATCGGCCAGCCTTGAGCTCCCGAAAGATGGCCACTGCCTCTTCGGCAGTGCTCAGGGCCTGCCACAGCGAGAGAGAGAGAGAGAGAGGGAGGGAGGGAGGGAGGGAGAAGAAAGAAATCCGGGAGCGTGGGAGGGGAAGAGAGATTCCGATCTGGCTTCGCAGGAGTCTCCGTGCCTCCTGGTACTCCTGTAGCTGGGTTTGCACTTGCCTGGGGTCACTCTGTGTTTGCGTGTGGGTCAGCGAGTTTATCAGGCTTTCTGCCTGCATCAATCCCAGCTTTCAGCTGAACCGAACCAACATTAAAACATACGCACACACATACATAGATACACACAAGGAATGCATGCGTGCATGCATGCATACTACATGCGCGCATGCATACATGCATGCTGCATATCCATACATACGTGAGATAAGTGAGGCCTGCAGTCTACACCCTGCGGTCAGTCTGGATGCACATGGAGGCAGGGCACGCACAATCAACACCTGGAGAAAATTTTGGGACACGTTGAGTAGGCTGTCAGTCGGCATCAGAGCAAAAAGCTACGCCGCAGCCGATTCCGATCACTGTACAGATCTGACCTAAGCTTGTCAGCGGCTGCGTCGGCGACTCCTGCTCCTGCTGGGCTTTGCGACAAGAGCTTTCAGGGAAAGCAATGGAAGGCGAAGTTGAAGAGTACAGCACGGGGTAGAAAGTCCCTGAAGTGCACAGCACCATGCTCGAGCTGGACGTATCTGGACGTAAGCAGTGCCACGTCGGGCAACTCTACCAAACCAATTGCTGAAAGGCTGGAACAGGCCATCAGAAAAAGATACCAGTATAGAATGCACGTGCAAAACTGTTCGACAGATGCGCTGTAGAATTTCAGGCTTGGGGTGCTTGTCTTTTAAACATGCCGGCAGCTAGGCCTCCGCCTCCTTGGGGAGGTGGAAGTCCTGCCATCCGTTGGTCAACACTATTGCGTAGAAATCCCGCAAGGACTCAAACAACGATGCACAAACAGCGCACCCCGGCCTCTTTCGCCTCTTTCTGGCGGGACGGCTCCGGCTCCTGCGCTCCCGGCACCACGACTGCACTTGCTGATCACACGACTGTGAAGGGGAGGGCTGGAAGAAGAGAAACGAAGGACAAGACGAAGCAATCCCCGGTGGCTCTATCCTGTTCCTCTTTCTGCTGCTCTTGCTGCTGCTGCTGCTGCTGCCGCTGCTGCTGCTCTTATTCTTCTGTGGCTTTTTCCCGGCTTCATGCGCGTCTTTTTTCTTGTCGTCATTGTCGCCTGCATTACCTGCAGCAGCTGCATCAGGTGCTGCAGCTTCGTCCTCACCTCGGCGAGACTACTCTAAGTCAACCACAGGGCAGAACAAATGAGATTCTGGCCAGATGCAAGCTGCACTATTTTGAACAAGTGTCTGGAGCTGGCAGGTTGCTCTTGCTCTGGCTCTTCTTGCTCGTCCTGCTCCTCTGGCTCCGCCTCTGATTCCGTCTCATCAGCTTTCGGCTCCAGGCCTTTGGAGCGGAAGACGCTCTTGATGCTCTCCTCGGGAGAAAGACGCGCAATCACAGAGCCTGCTACTTGTACTACCCAGAATGAGTCCTTCACTCGTTGCTCGAGTATGTAGCACTGTTCAGACCAGCACGCCATGACAATGCACTACACCAAGACGACGGTGTTCGTGGCACCAGTGAGGGTGACAGTGGCAGGGTTCCGAACAGTCGAAGTGAGAACCGCAACCAGTCTGAGCTGCCGGCGAAGATGAAAATCAGATGTTCAAACCATAGAATGGAATTTAGATTACTGTGTGTGCATGTTTGAAAAGCTCGAGAAAGAGAATCTGCATATGCACAGCTGCTTAAAAGACAACGGTATGAGTGAAGCCGGTAGACATTGGCAAAAGATGAAGCAGCACACGCATGTAGATAAGCACATGCAAACTCCGGTCCGGTCTAAGCGCGATGGCATCTAGGACTGCGCCACCACATACAGACATGCAACATTACATGCACGCACAGAATTTGAATGCAGAAATATCTGATGCATCTATGTTTCCGCGTGCCGTATGTATGTATGTATGTATGTATGTATGTATGTATGTATGCATGTATGTGCGCAGTTGCTCTTAGTACATGGTCGCACCTGCCGAGCGAACATGAGCTCTAAACATGGCAGATTCCTAGCTCCTGAAGTAGCGCATGTGGCGGTGACATGCATGTATCTGCGCATTGTCGGAAATGCAAAGACTTGACAAACAAAAATTGAGTAACTCTTGTCCTACCCTCATGAACAGATAACATATCAAATGTGCACATACCAGTAATATCCAGTAATGAGAACATCTGAGGGATGATGCAGTCGAGCCTCCAGCGCTTGCGCTTTCTCGGAGGCCGGGCCGATACCGAGACTCTCCAGCAGCTGTGGGAGCATTGGATCCTGCATGACCTCCACAGCAGCAAGCAATTCTCTGAACTCCGGAGCCGGAAACCCGGTTGAAGAGGGGAACATTCAGCCGCAGAGACGACTGTATGTTTATGGCTGAAGTGGATAGAAAAGGCTTGCCTGCTGCAAGGCCTCCCCTGCATCGCTGAAGTCCTCATCGGCGGCTGCTTTCCTTGATAGGGCGTTGTCTGAGCGCAGAGGTGCCTGCCAGAGCCCGCACTCTGGACTGAATGCCACCAAGGCTCGTCATGTTTTCGGAAAGTTTGTGGAGCGATGTGAGGCTATAGCCGATGCTGGCTCTCACAGCTGCTTCGTATTGGAGCCGTGCTGTTGTCATCTTTTCTAACACACGCTTTTGCTTCACGCGGCCCTGCTCCAGCTCGGATTTCAGCTTCGCGATTTCTTCTTGCTGCGCAGTGTTCGTCTCTTCGAGCGCAGCGTTCTTCTCTTCCAGCGCAGAGTTCTGCTTCTGCAGCACTTCTCCTGCAGCCCGTGGATGTGTTGGGCGAGCGAACGAAAGAGGGTACCGACGGAGCAACCGCGGGCTCAAGAAACTAGAGGCAGAGAGTGCGTGAGCAAATGGGTGACGTAGGGATGCTCACAGAATGATCAGGCAAAGCCGAGTGCGTGAACGAGTACGCCTGAAGTGACACTCCGAATCGCTGAGTCGTATTTCCCTCAAGCCTCCCAGGGCCGTGTGATTCAGGAGCTGGAGCTGCTGCTGTGACAATACTGCACAGGCTTCGTCGAGTTGGAAAATCGTACCGGCAGCAACTACACGAGTGGGTGAGTAGCGAAGTTGAGTCAGTGAACCAGTGAGTACAGGAGAAGCATGCATAATAGCAGTGAGAGGCCAAGCATACCAGTGAGACTTAAAGTTTCAGTCCGAAGCTGAATGCATGCTTGTGTGAGCTGAGCGAACGAGTGGGGTAGGAGAGCTTGGTTCACACGTCCCACGTGTTTTCTCTCAAAAGGAACCAACAGCAATCCACACTCACACTATCCCGAATACCTGTTCAGCTGCATACATCCGCACATGTGGTCCTTTCCTCCAGATAGATCGACACCCCACCCCATGCCACCCCAGCCACCCCACCTGCACAACCACCCTATTCTCGACGATTCGTTCTCAATCTCATCCCCACTGATATGAAAACATCACATCCTTCCTTCCGGACCTCACCTGCAGCTGCAAGCAGCTAAGACTACACTTGGCGAGCTGGCGCTGCAAGACCTGAGCGCCACACTGTCGGCTTCGATCTTCTCGGAGGTCTGGCGCGCATCAGCCAGCTCCTCCTCCAGCATTCTGTTCGCTGCCAGGGCCTCTGCCATGAGCTCAAGAACTGCGGGGGAAAAACGGAAGGGAACAGAATCGAAAGTCCGGACTGCCTTATCTTGTTCTGCTTGGAGCCCTGCTCCTGCGATATGCACCAATATAGAGTGCTGCCAGAACACTCTGCCACATGATGAAACATCTGAGACCAATGCTTTCACGGTTCGCATCCGCCAGCTTCTGCTTGGCATCTGCCACTTGCCGTCTATCCTGACTTGGTTCTTCGATGTTAATACACCCCTGCACAGTCTGCCAGCAATCATGCCGAGCCACTTTTCGCACGCAAGCAGCACAGGACAGCATTCATCGGATGGTCAATCAAGCTACTGGTAGAGAGAAAACTGGAGAAATCTTGCAGAATTTCTCCACATCATGTACTTCTTGTAGCGACCGCCAACCGAAAGCAGCCCTCCTGATTCAATCAACCAAACTTTTGCTAACCGCGGTGCCTCCTCTCTTTCCTCCTCATACTGGCTGTCCAGTGAATTCAACTGGTCGCGCAGCATATCTTCTGTTGCTCTCGCCTGCGCCAGTTCTTGCTCCAGGTGGGCCATCCTCTGCAGGGTTTCTGGATCGTCCACGGGATCCACTGCAGGCGATGCCGAGGGCGCCGTTGACTGCGACGGTTTTGCGGGCTGCAGGACCTGGGCCTTGGCTTCAATCGCTTTTGTCAAGCAAGCTTTTGACCTTGGATGGCTAAGCTTACGAAGCCTTCCCTCGATATGCTTCCAAACGTTCGTTTCCTGCGTGCTCTATCGTGCTCTGTTTCCAGTTGCATGCGCATTCTTGGGGAAGTCGCCCCTCGGATTTAACCCTTTTTCCTTCAGCTACTTGGTTATCCTCTTTGCAAGTCGGAAGGTTGGGAAGGTACTCCGAATCATTAATTTGATCCTGGCGAGCCGCTGTAGGGCAGTTGACGGTCTCTGATGCTCCTTCTAATCAGCAGCGCTTGAAAGAAATCTGTCTTTGCGAGTTTGTCACGCTCAACAGCAACAAGACACAGCATTGGTCACCCCGAGAAGGACTTCGCCATATTACATCGACAAAAAACGCAAATATCCATGCGTGACCACCTGGCGACAAGAAGAACAAGGTACAGCAAGCCACGTGCCCGTGCACACTTTGACATAGCGTACCAGTGTCAGAATGGGGGTTCGTGCTGTCTGATCTTCCAGCAATTGCTTCTTTGTTGCTCTCCCTCCGTTCCGATGTTTGGTGCGGTGCTGCCATGTCTCCACTGTTGGTGTTGGCTTGGGTGCTTTCGTCAAGATTGTTTTTGGTCTTACATTCGCTGCTCATGGCATCAACTGGCTCAGGCAGCGCCTGCATGGGCAAGCTGAACAAGCACACCGCATTAGCATGATTGCGTCGAGTCGCAGAGTTCTGCACGACTTGGCGGCACCGACCTTTGAGGGCATTGGCCATCGTCGTAATCATGTTCAGGTTCATGAAGCCGGCAGAGTCTGGCTTTGACCTTGACCGTGAGACTGCAGACGCAGTCTTTGGAGCACACCCTTCATCCGAGATACGGGGCCGCAGGATCGGCATAAGGTGGCCTGACCAGCTCTGGGCTCTCGGCATCCACGAGTGCAACAAATCAGATTCTTGTCTGCAGGATTTAAGCCGCTTGCTTGCAATGCTGTAAGCTCCTCGCTCGATGCCCGCAGGGTAATCCGTGCACTCTTCCTTGACCGGCACCGGAGCCTGCAGGGCAATGTCCAACGAGTCACTAGCGTGGCATCTCCGAGCGGCTACGTAGTCTTGCCTTGGGAAGCGGGGCAGTGGAGGTCGATGCAGGCGAAGGCGGCGCAGGCGAAGGCGGCGCAGGCGAAGGCGGCGCAGGCGGCACCGGCTCCGCCGTCTCCGCTGGCGGCGCAGTCTCCGCAGATGCAGAGGGTGTCGACCGCTTGGGCCTTGGCAGCCTTGGCAGTGAAGGCACGAGGCAAGAATTGTCGAAGTACTCGGCTGCAGTTGATTTCATGTCGAAGGGTTTAACTTCAATGTGCAAGAGACCACGTACGCGTTCCTCGAAGCTTCGGCCGGAGCTGTTGCGTGATCTGCTGTCGGCGTATTTTACACGACCTTTCCCACTCAAGACAACGAAGTCCCAACCCTTAAGCGCCCAGGTGCTCTTTACCGGACAACCTGCTGGGATGTATCCTTGGCTGCAAGGATCCGTGAATTTGTGCAAACTGACTCAGAAGCACAATCCCACCAGAAAACAGTGACGAGTGAGTGCATGATGAGTGGAGCGGAGGGGAGGGGAGGGGGGGAGTGGGAGGCAGTGGCAGTGGGTTGCTTGGTTGCTTGGTTGGTTGCTTGGTTGGTTGCTTGCTTGGTTGCTTGCTTGGTTGGAACGAAACCAAGCAACAAAGACACGAAGAAACAAAGACACAAATAACCAAAGAAACAATCACACAAAGTTGCAAAGAGACAAGGAAATAACGTAATAATAATAAATACATAAATCAAGAAAACAAGCAATAAACACACAACAACAAAACACAAAGCACACACACACACACAAACACAAACAAACAAACAACATCACACAACCAAACACAGCCAAACGAACAAAGAAGCAATCAAATAGACAAACATAACCAAACAACCAGCCAACCCACCGACCGACCGTTTTTGCTTCGTTAGTTCTGTATTTCTTTGTGTCTTCGTTTGTTTGGTTGGTTGGTTGGTTGGTTGGTTGGTTGGTTGGTTGGTTGGTTGGATGGTTGGTTGGTTGGTTGGTTGGTTGGTTGGTTGGTTGGTTGGTTGGTTGGTTGGTTGGTTG